GTGTGTGTGTGGTGTGTGTGTGTGTGTGTGCGCGCGTGTGTGTGTGTGTGTGTGTGTGTGCGACCTAGTGACACCGTAGATAATCACCGTAGACGTCATCGTCGTCGGAGCGACGGAGTACGCGCCCTTCGTCACTTCGTCGATGACTCTGAGGATCGACGCGGGGCGATATTGCCCCGCCGTCGTGGATGCCGCGATATCTGCTGTCGATTAAATCGATAGCCGACAGCGGACGGGGACCGAGTTCGCATCTTGAATTTCCTCTCGCAAATGCAGACGCAGGTTTCTCGTACGTCCTCTCGCATTTGAGAAAGGAAATACGATAATGATCTACTCGTTTCGCGTTTGGTGTCTTTGTATGTAGTATGAGACGCGTGACAGGGGGGGTCCTCTATTCTCACCACGTGAATCAAGTTATTCCTGTAATTTGGGATGTTTTCTTACGTTCAAAATCGCATACATGAGTTACTTTATTATAATTCTAAGTAATATCGATAAATAAGATATTTAAGTAAAATTAGAATATTAAGACAGTAGGATGCATTAAAATGATATTGTTTATCATAAAAATAAAAACCAGAGAAATTATTTTTATAGCGAAAAGTGTATTTCCTTAAAATCAAAATGAGAAAATCTCTTGGAAATAGTTTATAGAAATAGTCTCGTGTCACAAAAACGAATCAAGTCTTCGAATACCAATTATTATCCTTTAAAAAATTAAGCCGATATTTTCTTCAATACAAAGTCAAAACTTTAAGGTGTAACGACTCAATTCCGAGGGAGGACCTCGCGGAATCACCGTCTCATTCGCATCGCGTTTACATACGTAGTGATTAGCCAGTAGTAGCCTGTCTTGCGTTTATCACGAGATTCTGCTTCGAGATCGTCGCGAGATCTTGCGTCTTCGGCGATATGTCGCGACGAGTCTCCTCACGCCTGCAGGCAACACCAGAGTAGACGAGCATAGGTACGTACACGAAAATATAAGAGAGACATATCGACGTGAGAAATCCCGAGGTATCTCTA